AATGAACTTCCCTCCTTTTATTTTATCAGCTTTTTTTTCTGAAATAGGAGGGAATGAATGCGAAATGATCATGGCTTCGGGGAAGAAGAAGCTGCGGTCCCTGTTGAGCTAGAGAAGCCTTCTGGTGAGGAATTTCGGCTTGGCTGCCGCCCGAGCTAATGGTCCTGAGACTGTGGGAGGAGCCTGTGGGCAATAGAGAGTAATGTAAATAACACGTATGGTGTTATATTGTGACAGCCTCGACTGAGAGAGTCAGAAGTACTGTTCTGATTTAGAGATTTAGCTTGCAAGCTAAGGCTAGGATAGTCTGAGCTTTGAGACCCAGCAGCTACCTGGTTTGGGGTCGAAGACAGAGGAATGCTGTTCTAATAATTTATAAATTTAGCTTGCAAGCTAAAGTGAAGGCAGTCTGAACTTTGAGGCCCCATAGCTAGCTGGCTTGGGGTCAAAGATAGTGGAAAGAAGGCAATCTCTGAGCTCTGCAACCGAGCTAGAGCCAGGCATGGCTCATTGTAGGTAAAAATAGAAATTGCATGTGAGCCGAACGTGGAAGTGGACCGAAAAAAGAGAGGGCGGAATGACAGCTGCTGCGGAGCCCGCCTAAATTTTATAGATTCAAAAAACCATAAAAGAAGCTTGCTGTTATGCCATCTCCTTCTAAAATGCATGCAACATTAGCAGGGGTGGCGAGGTAAACCATGCATAAAGCTCCCAATAAGGTGGCCAGACCACCAGCAGGAGTACTCGTTGATGTTGTGGATGAAGTTGAAGAGTTTGAAGAAGAGCTAGAGTTACCGGAACCAGAGCTTCCACAAGTTGCCATACTGAAGTTAGTTTTGAAAAAACTGATACACTAGAGAAGATAAAGCTGTGACAGAGAGAAAGGAAAAGGAGCACTAGTGGCTGCTGCGAGAGAGAAAGACAACTGAATGCATTTGAAATGAGTAACTATATGGTTATATAGGCTCGTCAGAGCATGTGCAACAGACATGCCTGGGTAATCCCGAGGGAATTAACTTCATCTAACCCCTCTTGGCTTAAACTCCAAATTGGAAGTGAGAGAAAGGCAGGAACTTTTTGTGGGTGGAGTACTAGTAGAGGCCTGGCCAAAGGTTGGGCTTGGCTTGAGGTAGGCAACGAGGTACAAAGAGGGAGAGGCTGGAGCTCATGCTTCCTTGCCATTTTTGTCAGTGCTTTTTACAAAATAAGCTCAATTGTCAAGGGACACACTTTTAAAGTGCTCTTAAAAGATGCACAAGCTACTAAGGGAACCTAGTCTTCTGCAACATGATTGGTCATTGCAAGTTGTTATGGTAAAAGTTATACACCTCGGTCTGGGTTTTATTGCATTTATTAACCTCGACCTCGATGTATATCCTAAATTATCTCTACTGTAATTCTACCACAAAGTCAGAATGGCAACACCCTCCATACTCTCTATCACTATAATACTCACTTCTCTATTTTTAATGAGATTTGGCCAACTAGATGGTTTTTGGCCTAATTCTTAAGTTGAAATTTAGTTTTTGTCTCAAGGTGCAGGTATGATGATGCTTTTCATGAGTACAAATAACTGCGTACTGGTTTTTCTTGTAGTGGCTCTATTTTCAGTGACAGTTTCAATTTACTGTTGGCTTAGTGTAGATGATGACTTACTGAGGTTCTTCTCCAGGAATACGAGCAGTGTATACTCCACTTCCGAGTTGAGATCCAAGAGATACTTGCCATGATATCTCAAAATCAAAGTTAAGGAGGGTCACCAAGTTTTCCTTGTTCCTTATTCCTAGTTCACCACTAACATTGACTACACACTCTGGTTTCACTACTTTTCTTGCCATTCTTATATTTTGAGGTTGTTCCTTCTTCTGTACTTCAGATCCTCATTTTTGGCAGTTTGTTCAATGCATCTTTCTCTGTGTTGTCAATACACCATCTCAGTTTGAACCTTGAGTCTAAAATAGAACTGGATTTGTATTTTTGAAATAATTTCCTAATTTCATACCTTAATCCAGAAACGCAGGGTACAACATATCCAGATGAAGGAAAGTTCTCTGTCTGGGCAAAATCAGTGGTCCCTTGTCAATACACCATTTCAGTTTGAACCTTGAGTCTAAAATAGAACTGGATTTGTATTTTTGAAATAATTTCCTAATTTCATACCTTAATCCAGAAACGCATGGTACAACATATCCAGATGAAGGAAAGTTCTCTGTCTGGGCAAAATCAGTGGTCCCTTAATTCAAAAGGCCGAGATGAGTATTTCAATTAAGTGTCATTATTTTTTGTGAGCTGAAAAGTTTAGTACATTTCCTAATTCTTTAAACTTTTCAGATAGAATTTTTAAAAATGAGAGGAGCATTTATAGTTGTGAATTCTAGCATGTTCCAGTGTAAGACTGTAATTTCTTCTCCCCTTGCAATACTGTACATGTATATATGTGATAATAGTTGACCTAAAAACAACTGACAATCTTGAAAAACTTACTACAAATAGCACCATTTGTCTGAGTTAGATTTCTGAAGCCATCTTTCACATATCTTGTAAAGCATCGAATGAGCGGCTACAACCTCCAGTAACTTTCATTCCGCAAATCTTTCCATTGGAAGGATGGTGCTGCCAGTGTATATGTTGCTCATTTTCAAGCTCAAGTGTGGACCGCAATGTAGGGGTTGGTACTGCAGCTCTGTCGCTTCTGTGCGACCTTATTGAAGCTCTGGCAGGATACATAACCTGTATACTACTTGAGGACATGCTACCAAACATGGACTGCACAATGTCAGGTAGATTCCTTCTGTCTAGTCTAACTGCACTGGAAGAGAGAAACCTGTTGTGATAGCCGATGGTATTTGCTAGTATGGCAAAGTATCTCTGCATTTCACGCAGATGAGTTGTTCTTGTGAGCAAGTTTTTATAATGGCGGTAACTTCATTGCATTAGTAATTTGTAAAGAGGTCCTTCCATCCGAAGGGCACATTCCACTCCAGTGGGAAGATTACTCATGTGGAACTTGCGTTTAACTTCACAACTAACTGGAGAGTATGGGCAAACATGTACATGTACAATGTATTATTTGCAGCTGCATTGCTGCTTGATGGTCAATACTATGAGAGTATTAGCCTTGCAAACCAGACCTACCCCACCTATGGGGAGAAGGGTCTTCAGGTTCAAGCTATACACACAAGTTGTTTTTGCCCAATCTGCTTATAAGTGTGACTTTAACAATGATGTTTGAATGGATAATTAGTGATGTTAATATGTGAACACGTGAGTCATTGTGTTATTTTTAAGGCACCTTCTATAGAACTGGTGAGGAACTTCATTTCTCTCATTTAAAAAGATGAGCAGTTGATGGCAATAGAAGAATTCTTAACTGGAAAGATGTAGAAGAGCCATCACTAACAGATGAAATCTTGATGCTATTGAGAAGGATATCTTTGGTGGCAGCTTTTGTCTGGATTCTCAAATATTGACACAGACCTTTTGGTTGGTCTCTCAGTAATCATGTACATGTACCAGTGCACTCTTTCCACTGCCTAATGATCCTTCAATTATCATCACTGGGTTTTGCTTAATAATTGTCAATAATTTCCCTATCTACAAATCAAGAAACAATGTTTTGTATAGAATGGGCACTTGAACCCTTGTTGTTTTTTGAGCCCTTTCTTTTTCATACTCCTTTTTAAATTAAGAATGGTCTTTGCAATACTAGGAAGGGTGAACCAGCTTGACGGAGTGTTTATCAACAGTGTCACGTCAACATTCTAGTTAGCTTGTAATCTCTTCTAAATGTGTATATGCTATTCTGAATTTATGACTCCTATTTTCTAAAAAATAGTATACAAGATATTTACATATTGATTACACTATTTTAATTGAAGCATCAACTTGAACTAGGTTGAGTTGATGAGCATGGCAGTGAATATAAATTGCAGAAGGATTTTTTTGACAAGTAGCCACTCATTACAGAAGCACCATTGTAACATTAGCTGACACAGCTGTTGATATCTGAATTTATCTCTCTCAGTTGTCATTTTGTCTGTAAAATGCCCGAAGGATTTATTTCTTTATATTTTGTCAAGCAGAGAATAAGACAAGTGCAAGTCTGCGTAGCACTTGTATTGGCAAAGGCCACCACTTTTTCGCTTAATGTTACTGTGCCAAGACATCTTTACTAAAAAGATCCTGAATGAAGAATATTGCTTCTAAATTTACTGTCACCTTTTGTAACATAAATGTTAGATCTATACTCAGTTAGGTCTTCCACAACTAATTTGACATCCTCCTCTATACTGGTTCTACTACAACTTCCATACTAATGGCTCTCCATTCACTAAACCATCAATTGCAAAGGTAGTGTAGATGCTCTAAACGTTGAATAAAAGAAACCTGAGGCCTTATGATTTCCTCCTGGGCATCTAAAATTTTGTAATATACATGCAATTATATAAAATGATTAATTACGTAGTAACTAACGTGTTCTCCTGCTATGTATAGCCCATTCACTGCTGATCATTTCTCTATAAATTGATGATTATTATCCCCATCATACAAAATAGCCACTGCCCGACATCATAAACCAAATCTGTGCAACCTTCAAAATGAAAACAAGAGGTTATATTATATATTTTTTGATATTATTTCCCTAAACCATATACCTATAATTGACATTGCTGCCATCAGAGAAGTAGATTTTTCAGCCTCAGACTCACCTACGGCTACTGCAGTGTGTAACATTCTCTAATTTTCTGAAGCAGAATAATACACAGCAGACCCTGAAATAACTTTTGAAAATGATTGGTCACAGTGTCAGAACAAAGATAATTTTGATTGGACAAATATTGTATTTGGTCGGTCGTTTTTTAAAACACATTTTTTAACAATAAAAAAGAAACAAGGACCAAAGAGACATGCATTATTGTAGAAAAAGAGACAGAGAGATATATTACAATACAAAAAGGACAAAAAGAGTATGTATAGAGATTTAAGAGATGTATAGAGTATCAAATATCAGTTGGAGAATCATCATTAAGCCAATTATCCCAATCTTCTAATAAAGTGCTTTCATCAGCTTCTGACTCAGACTCTTCCTCACCTGTTAATACTGATGATGATGAGCATGTTTGATCTTTCGTACCACAACGCTTCCTATATGGTTTACGTGGCTGCTGATCTACTCGTCTTGTTTTTGCCTTCCACCAGAGTTCTACACTTCTATCTGCATTGAAACTGTGCAAAGGTAAGCAATCAGAGTTAATAGTAATAAGATCTTTGACTGTGTTGTTACTAAGTGATGACCTTCTTGTACCTTTGATGACGTTGAACGTTGAAAATAACCGCTCCAACTTTCCATTAGAAGAAGGGAGAGAAAACAAGAGCTCTGCTAGTAGTAAAACATTTGACCATTCAGATGCTGTAGGTGCATTAAAAAGACGCCACCAAACACACTGATAAATCATAGTAGAGAGAGAGATAAATTGGTTTGCATACACTAACATAGACTCAAATTCAGATAAGATTTCACTTGTTTGGGCATCAGCTCCTTGTAATGGTACTTCAAAATGTTCCACTAAATGGGTAATAGGAGACAAAGGATTGGTACCACCTTTGTTGTTGAAATCTTCAAGATCGCTTACTATCTTTTGCCAGCCACAAGTAGATAACATAAAGATAATATCTTTCATTAAATCCAAATTAGACCATTCTAATCTGTGTTTGATACATGAAGTAACGGCTGTGCAGTAATCAGATGAGTGACTATCATAGTATGTCTTGGCTTCACTAAATCTCTTTAATCTCTGTAGCTGGTAGACATGTTCCCCTTCTTCCTCAGTAATTTTGCTTGTTATGAGATTATATGTAGGCCAATGTTCAATTTGTCGTTTACTTAATTGATCAGTCTCCTTTACTGTTCTAACAAGTGATGTCAAAGCTCCCAAAATATCAAGATCATCATTCTGCATGCATTTAGAAAAAGTAGCACAGGGTGATAGGAGATCTACAAACACAGCACATCCCAATATGTACTTGGCTTCTGTCCAACGATTGTAAAATCCCTTTAACTTAGCACGATCAGTTGATCTAATTGAACGATCTTCAGAGAGAGATGACAGATGACCAATGAAAGCACCATATTTAGATATGACTCTTTTCATGGCACTTAACTTGTGACAAATCCACCTAGTCCCACATGCTCTTATAGGTTTAACACCAGCATCATCAAATACGAGACATTCTCTGAGATCACGAACTATTTCTTCTAACTCTCTACTTTTTTTTGGCGATTTTTCGTAAAGATAGTAAAGTTGGAGCAGCATGTTATCAATATCATCAAACCAAGTACCTTTCAATGCATCCTTAATCGATAGCTCCAAACGATGTGCTAGACACCACATCCAAAATATCCATGGGATTTTTTCTTCGACCAAACCTTTAAGACCTGCTGAAGCAATATTAGCTGCAGCTCCATCAGTAGCAATTCCAACTAATTTTTTACAAGTTGGAGCATCACTAGCAGATATTCCAAGAGACTGAATTCCATCTAACAGACAATGATACAAACCATCACTATTCAAACGCTGAGGCTGTAGTATAGAAAAGAATTCCATCCTTGAGTGAACCTTTTCATCAGAAGCAGTATGGTCACACCAAAGAACAAGCATGGCTTCATTGTCAATGTTAGCCTTATCTGTACAACCATCTAATAGTATAGAGAAGAAATTGGCTTTAGATATTATATCTAACAGTTTCTCTTGTTTTGACGATGCAATGTAGCTAATAAATTCCTTACAAGAATTTTCATTAAGATACGAATGGCCCAAATGAACTGCATGCCTCTTTTCGAGCTCGCATAGCTTGGGATACTTTGCCAATGGTAACTTTTCAGTGGCGACGAAATAAGCAATATCAAATTTCCTCTTAAGTGCTTCTCTATCTTCATTGGACAAAGTATGCAGGGAGTCAACAATAGGTGAATGTATAGAAATGCTTTTCTCTTTTGCATGTTCCCTGCTGAAGAGCTGCATGGCATTAACGTGCTGTTGTGACTGAGCGTGGTCCTTAATATTGCTGGTCCATATGGAGTCTGCCCCATCAATCCACTTGTAGCTAAAGTTCCTTGTACAACTTATACTGCTCTTAAACTGCTTACATACGACACACATCAGCTTGTCAACTACTTTCTTTCCCGAGACCAGCAGTGTTTTACACTCTAACCATGTTACAGTCTTATAATCTCTATCCAGCTCAGTCCTCCACTTTTGATAAGTAGTAAATAGCACCATTCTTTTCTTTGAGCCAGACAGATCCTCATCGCTAGTGGAATAACTTGTGGTAGCGCTCCTTTTCATTGTAAAACTTACACATGTGATCTACTGATACTTCTATTTAATGCCTTATTAACTAACTAAAATTAATTTATAATTTTATTAATTGACTGGACAAAATGGCCGCCCATTCGTGGAATTGCGCGGTCAAACTGCTGAATTGGACGGAAATTGTCCGAAGACCGACCATTATTTCAGGGTCTGCACAGTGTCTGTTTATCAGAATATCTGTTGAAGCCTGATGTTAGTTGTGCAGCAACGAATAATGCCAAATGCTGTTGTTGCTATTATATTACGTAACCTGCTTTCTTATCGCAAAAATTAGCCAAAACCTTTTCTTTGAATTGGTGTGTGTATAGATATTGATGCATAGCTTATTGATATGACAGGTCCTAATGATATACCGTACAGAAGGAAATTTTGGAGGGACTAAATTTTGGCGAATTGCTAAATTTTGGTGATTGGCGAATTTTAATTTGGCGAATTTGTGGCCACGTGCCATTGAGCATGCGTATAATGGCTCAAAATGGCGAATGTTTATTTTGGCGAATGGCTATCAAAACGCCAAATTCGCCAAATTTAACTACCTCCAAAATTTCCTTCCATACGGTATGACCACTCCATGGGTTAATGCACCCTGAGGCAATGCTACAATTTTTGATACCATAGATTAATCTAATAATTTTTAGTGAAATGTGCTTTACTGCATATTTTTATTATGTGGTGAAACACGATTTTGTCAATGAAGTATTTCTAAAACAGAAAGTGATTAATAGTCTGTCACTTTTAGGTGACAAATGACAATGGTGGCACCTCTGCATGTATAATCTCAGTGGTATCAACTAATGAAACAGGACCTATTATTAAAAAATAAGAAAGTTAATGAAAGCAGGTGAAGTCACTATTGATATTAATACTATACTAAAACTAATAGTTTGCTTGGTATTGTGTCAACAAATGATAAAAACATTGCTGTATCCAAGGTCATCTTGCCGCAGTATTTAAACATTCACACATACTTCTGTATCCCAGAGGAAGTGTTAATATAATAAACGTATCCAAACAGACTTATTGGTGCACCATAACTGTTAACACCCTTGTAAGAACAAAGTTGATGAAATTGTATTCTCTTCTAATAATATATCTCCCCCACCAATAAATTGGCTGTACTTATGCATATTTTTGTATACCCTACATCTCCGTTCAAAATGAATTGGTGTAGTAGTGAAAGTTCCTGTGACTGTTTACTAGTGTCAATAGGATTACATATCACAAAGACATTACTATCACTGAACAACTCACAAGCCTCTTCATGCTCATCTTAACTAATTGACAGTTGATTTTATAGCATTTGGCCATTAATAATATCTGGATCCTACCCCACCCATTAGTCTCATCAGCATTTATTGAGATAACAATCACTTTTCACTTAATTGAGAGGTTCCAGTTCCAATACTAGTTAGTTTGTGAGTTTTGGTCATTGCAGATCTTTTTATATGCTTTGTTAGTCAGTATCAGTATCATTCTCCTTGAGCATATTCATACAACCTGCCTTGAGGTACTGGTATCTCCCCTGAATGATGGTAGGGTACTGGTAGTTGGCAGGGTACTGGTATTTCTGACCAAGGAGCCCGGTTAGAAATATTTTTTGTCAGTATCAAGCTGGTAGCAAGTTGCCCTGAGTAATATATAATGCATCTAAAATACTGAAAGGACATAATAATTTGATGTTATTTCTGATATCTTTCATCTCCTAAGACTTTTATGTTTTCACTTGAATGAAACATCATTCTCTAATATTCTATCCAAGCTGTTTTAACAATGATTCTAACATTGCAGTGCATGCAGAAGCAGCAAATGCCTTCTCCACATTACTTTAGGAACAATGTCCACGCTCATACTAACCTTTCTTTAAATTCATTGCATCTTGACTCTGTAATATTGGTACCGGCTTGAGTAAGGAGATAGTAAGTTGACATCATTGCAGACTTTATACTATAACCTTTCCCCAAAGTCATTTCATCCAAAATACATCACACCAACCGTGAATCAGACAGGTATCTTTCTTTGTAGAATTGTAGCAGCATAGCATTGCATCACCGCTTCATTATAAGCCGTGTCCTCTTTACAGATGAGACTTTCCTTTGTGGTTAGCCTTTTGATTCTGCAGGATATAATTTTTAATAAAAGACACAGTGCTGGTGTGCTCCTAAATGTTGCAACTTTGAGATTCAGAAAAAGTTATTTCTACATGAATTCAAAAAAATTATATCGAGGCAAATTTATCTCTCCTCATCCTTTTCCAACACTTCTTTTACTGCAAAGTATAGCCATTAGCCATGCACAAGACTTAGAAAATTTCATGGATGGCAGGACACTTACTTCATTTACAAAAAAATAAATCCTGTATTTTGAAGAATTGTTTATAAATAGACAAATTAAAAGGTTTACAAATCAATTAAATTGAAATTAGTCTGAAGGCATTGTGATTTGTAACAACTTTTCAAACCATTTTCCAGATGCAAAATAACTCCATTAGGCCTCACAAGCTGCCCTGTACTACAGTGAACATTGGTTGCCATGCTCATTCTTCGTTAGAAGGGTGACGATGTTTCATGATTTTATTGCAAAAATTATCTCGAGGTGAGACATTTTCAGATGCATTAAAGGATTAAAAAGTGGTATCACTGATGTGAAAAGGCTTCCTCTCTTTATTATGTTTGTCCAGTATTACTTGACAAGCTCTCATCAATCTCACACACCAACTCGTCCTTATAAAAGGTGCTGGCTATTATTAATATTAGAAAACATGTCCACCTAAACAAAAGTCACTAATAGTACTCCTCTATCCAGTTGTGTGGAACTCTGTCAATAGCCTTCTGATGGCCAACCCATACAACTAAGAGATGGTTTTTTCAGCACTTTATATGACCTACAGATCCGCATTAGGACTTTGATGTGTGTTCTCTGGTAATTTGTTATCTTTTACTTGTTTCCTATCTTTGGAGATCATCATGCAACCAACCTTATAGCTTGTGACATAATTGTGTATTTATTATTTAAGCAAACCACTCCTCTCTATCTAATACCCCCAGGTCGTCCTCTATAATTGATTTCACCCACGTGCGATATATATTTGATTGTATGTCGATGTCAACATTTCATTTCTTCTATACACGTTGTATTGGAGAAATAACAAGCCTTAGCAACCACCCGCCCACGCTACGTAAGTGGGTGTGGTCACGGCAAGCAAAATGGCGGTTTGCACATGGAACAAAGTTATGAGCTTTCTAACAGCGAAAGAACATAGAGATACTGTCTAAAGACTTTTCTAGAAGCAGTAGAAGGTAGAGAGAACCTTCATAAATCTTAATAAGAACCCAGCTGTACATGCAAGGTGCAGAAATCAATTATAGGAATATTTTTAAACTGTTACGCTTGTTTTTGATTTATTCCAAACAAGAATCTCTTCACGTGGTACTTATACAGTGAAAGTAGAAATATACGTACACCTTGAGGATACCTCAATAGCAATCCTTACCTTGGTAACATCATTCCTAATCAAGACCTTTATTAGTATTATAAATCAATTAGAATAACTGCAAATTGGAGAAATGGTAATGTATAAAAATTGGAAGAGGGAAAAGAGCTTTGATGTAAGAGAAAAACACTGGGGAAAAGGTAAAAAATGTAAATTATCCTTTTTAGAAACAGTCATCAGTGCTTGACCTTGCTGGCTCTTTTAGTACTACCTTTGGTGATACTTCACTCTGCCCCATATGTACTGACTGACTTTGCTTTATCTTGCGCAATAGGTAGTTGTTGGGGACTTTATCTCTCTGTCATCTCCTTTCAGAATTTTGATTATTTTTAAAGAATCTTTTTAGGGTCCTGGCAACTAAGAAGTGCAGCAAGCAATACTTGTTTTTTTGTAGCTCTAAGTTAGCACTAGCTGTGAGATTCTCCTTTTGGCTCTATTGTTCTGCTACCTTCTCTACATTAATTTATCATCACTGTTTTCTGATAATTCATTTGCCTGTACTCAGTGAGCAATCCCGATTGAGGGACATAACTTCAAAAATGGAAGATAGAAGCAACCTCCTGTATAAAATACTTCAGTAAAGACATGTTGCTTTCAAGTCACACACTGATGGTTTTAAAGCAAACCTTAATTAATTAGATCAGACAATAGCTCCTCTTTTTGTTGCTTTGCTCAATCAAGACTTGTACCTTATATAGTATTGTTAACATGTATTGATACTTTTAATGCTTAATAAAACCCTTATGAAAACTCGTTGTGATTCTTTTGTCACTTCATACAGCATAATCAACTCCTAACTTGACCAGACCTTACCTGGTGTCTTTATGCTCATTGAAACTGGTTCAGCTAGTATTGTGGCCAGACACTCAGGCAAAGAAGAGAATTTCTTTCTTGTTGTAATAGTGACCACTATTGTACCAATCTACATGTACTTGTAATGAGTGTGGCATTTAATAATCCTTTTAAGTCTTTCATTTGTTTGTCATATCTTGTGTCTGTTATGGAAGAAGTAAAGACACTTTGAATGGCTCTTCTAAAATATTTTCTTCTCTGGAACCTATTGCATCAGAATTTTTAGAGCAATTGAAAGGAGAGTCAGAGGCATAGAATGTACTGTGGCTGATATGTTTGAAAGTAAGGAGTCATTTAATGTGCAAGCACGAAAGTGAGTCATCTTCTGATATGACTATCTACAATTCCAAATGGATGGGATTTTAGTTCCTTGCAGAACATCAGGCGATGGGATCACTGATGTGAAAAAGGCCTCCTCTGTCTATTATGTTTGTCCAGTATTTACTCGACAAACTCTCATCAATTTCACACCCACTCATCCCAATGAAAATTAAAAGTTTTTTTACAATTATTATTACAAAGCATATGCACCTAAACCAATAGTACACCTCTATCCAGCTGAATGGCATCCTGTCCAAAGGCTTCTGATAGTCAACCCACACAACTGAGAAACAGTTTTTTGGCACTCTGC